CTGGGTGCCGTTACAACGGAAAAGAGCACCCTGGAACGAGAATTGGAGGATTTAAAACAAACCAATGCAAAGTTGATTGAGGACCAGACGGCCGCACAGAAAGCGAACGACGCTGAAATCCATCTCCTGCGCAGGAACTTGAATTCAGGAGATGCGGAAAGGCTTGCACTACAGAAGAAGGTTGAAGAGTTAAACTCGCAGAACGAAGAGCTTGCTAGAGCGGTCGCTATGCGGCTTCGACAGCAAGAAGCCGAGACCGTGCGGGAAGTTCACCGGGATGATGACTCTGATGAGGATGGTAGAGGGACACCAGAAAATTCGCCGCCGCCATCACCCAACAAGTTCACTCCGCGACACAATCAACTGGAGACCGAAACATTGCGGAGTTCCTTGGGCCATGCTCACCGTATGATCCAGAATCTGAAGAGCACCATTCACCGAGAAAAAACCGAAAAGATTGAGCTCAAGCGCATGCTACAAGAAGCACGCGACGAGATTGAGCAGAAGCGTCGCGAAACTGTTGCCCCAGCTGGCCCATCCAACAAGCGCCAGAAGACCAAACCCGATAACTCACGCAAGGCTGCAAGACCGAACCTGCTGGGTGCTGGAAGGAGAGGAACGACCGAGATCGAGGAGGTTCATGAGACCGATTGGGAAGACCATGCCACTGACACGAGTCCATCGCACAAGGCGGCTTTGAGATCCTACCGAAGCCGCCCTGAACTGCAGTCTTCAGATGAGCCTAGTGATGCCTATCACACTGCTACTGAGGCTGACGATGCTTTTGAAACCGCCAACGAGCGGGAGGCGACCACAGAAAGCGAAGCTTTCCAGACGGGCGTCGAGAGCATGGCTGATGACAGTACAGATACCGATGAGCTAACTGAAACAGAGGACCGTATTCAGTTGACCCCTCGTGCTCGTGTCTCATCCCTAACGTTGGCAAAAGCTCGTGACCGGAAATCCTACCAGAGCAGTGCTTCCACTTCAGGGGAAGAAGATGAAGACTCCGATGGCATGTTGCCCTCACCCAGTCGAACTTCTACTCCTCGGCACCGTCTCAGGAACAAGAGGAGTGTGATGAGAAGGATTCGACCGTCTGGAGAGGCTCCGATGGCCTCCGGTAGCCGGCCATCTAGTTCACGCGAGTCCCCAGCAACGAGCTTCACAGAGACACCAGGGGACTCCGAAGGCCAGAGCCTGTTTGCAGAACTTGCAGAACTTGACGGCGAGGAGGATGAGGAGTTCGGCCCGCCGATAGAACACGATGCCGATTCCACACCACGTATCCTTTCGATGCCTGATTCGAGAAGACAATCCCAGGCCACACTGAACACGAGACCCAAGCCTGCAATGGTTGACTCCGGTGTCATGACTGACCCCTGGCAACCAAGCGTCCCAGCCGTTGTGAGCGACGAGAACGTCTCGAATGTTCTTGCAACACCGAAGAAGGCGACTTCAGATGTCGAGACTGCTGCTGGAACGAGAGAGCAACCAGAGCTGGTGCATGCTGCGACACAGTGGGCCTCCCCTCAGACGTCATCTGAAGTGAATGGTGAACAACTGTCGAGTGTGATGGCCACTTCGAAGATGATTTCGGATGTAAACGTGGAGCGGGAGGTCAATGCCTCTGCAGCTGTGCTGCCACAGCTCGATGTTTCCCCTATCTCTACTCAGGACACCGTTCCCGTAGCACCTAAGCTGCCTGAGTTAAGCATGTCATATGTTGTGGGAGGCTCAACCGAGCCGGTCACCGCGCCCATTTCCGATTCCCCGGAGATGGCTTTATCGGCCATCTCTTTGCAGTATACAGAACCCGCTTCTGCCAAGCTCCCTGAGCCGGAGCCGAAGTACGTACCAGAAGTGGTTGTCTCCTCGATCTTCTCTGAGGGGACTCAGCCTGTTGCGGCAACGCTTCCTGAGCCCGTGCCTGAGCCTTCAATCTCCATGGCAGAACAGGGCACGAGCACAGATCTCCCACAGCTGGTATACTCCACAATCTTCTCTGAGCATACCCAGCCTGTTATGGCAACTCTTCCTGAGCCCGTTCCCGTACCTGTGCCTGTGCCGGAAGCTCCAGTTACTGTCACGGAACGTGCTATGAGCACCGTGGTTCCAGACCTGGCAGTCTCGACAATCTTCTCCGAACAAACTTTGCCTGTAGTGGCGACTCTTCCAGAGCCTGTGCCGGAGCCTTCAGTTTCAGTTGCGGAGCGTGCTATGAACACCGAAATCCCTGGCCTGGCGGTTTCAACAATCTTCACAGAGCACACCGAACCTATTGCGGCGAAGCTACCAGAACCAGTCCCAGAGCCAGAGTCCGCGGTGGTTGTGGGTCAGGCTTCAGCCGAGCATGAGGTACCAGATTTGACAGTATCTTTTATACCACCCGAATCCACCGAGCCAATTGCACCCCAGGAGCGCGAGATTCCCGTCCCTGCTTCTCCGCAGTTGTCGGTTTCCACCATCCACTCCGTGGAAACGCTCCCTGTCGAGGTCACTCCAGCTGCGACCATCATCCCGGCAGCCCTGCCATCTGATGAAAACGCACCACTCATGCAAACGAAAGGTGTTATGGTCGACAAATCCATTTCAGAGTCTTTGCCAATTGTGGTTGTCGAAGACGAAGCAAATGATAGCTCTGACTATGACACAGCTGGTCAGAAGAAGGATGCCCCCTCGCCTCTGAGCGCTATCTCCGGCAATGCTGTCCCACGCCATGCAAGACGCCGATCGTCAAACCAGGCAGATCAAGGTGCTCAGACGATACTGTCTTCCAAGCAAATTGACCAGATTCTCATGGACCGTGTTACAGCCCGGCCTTTGTCTCCCCCCGACAGTGACAAAGCCAAGGAGCAAGGCAATTCACCCGCTGCCACGCCAAAGGCGCGACCCCGTCCCCAGCATCAGTCATCGGCCGCATCTCTCAATTGGCGACCAGGCAGCGCAGCCAGCCAGGCCTCTACTGTCCATAGCCATCCCCCATTGCCTTCTGAACATAAAGAGGCTATCATGGCTGCCGAGAAGAAATCGCTTGATCAACAACCGGCCACACCAGGTCTCATGGCGCCCCCTCTTGCTCCAGCTTCCGCTTTCCGCGCTCCACGTCCCCGCACTCCAAATGATTCAGCCGCTCAGGTTGGCTCCATCAGGTCTTCTACTTCACGGGCCAGAGTAAGGCGCGAAAGCCAGGTGTCGCGGAGGTCTTCGGTCTCATCGTTCGCATCCGAGATCGAAGAGCGGTTCAATACCCATTCCACTCCGGCTGGCGGGCCTTATGGCTATGGCTCTGGCACAGATCCACGCATGATTCAGGCTATCACCCAGACTATGATTGGAGAATTCCTCTGGAAGTATACACGTAAGACAGTCTCCGGAGAGATTTCCAACACTAGACATCGTCGCTACTTCTGGGTGCATCCATATACCCGTACATTGTACTGGAGCGAGCAGGACCCTCAAAGTGCTGGCAAGTCGGAGCGTAAGACAAAGAGCGTTCCTATTGAAGCCGTGAGAGTTGTCGCCGATGACAACCCATATCCTCCAGGTCTTCATTGTAGGAGCTTGGAGGTCGTTAGCCCTGGTCGCCGAATCAGGTTCACTGCGACTACTAGTCAGAGGCACGAGACCTGGTTCAATGCACTCTCGTACCTCTTACTGCGGTCGGAAAATGGTGAGGAGGAGGAGAACAATGACCTGGAAGATATCGATGAATTCAACCCTGGGTTCCAGTCAGGATCTCGGTCGCGCCAGAGGCCACGGTTGTCAATCTCTTCATCACAGAGTCGCACGACCCGAAATTGGCCGAAACAGCGAGCGGGTTCTGCTCTCTCTTTGCGCCGCACAGGGACCCCTGGTCGCGCTTCTCCAGCTCTGAGCACGCCGTCTCACTATTCCGATCAAAGGAACAGTTCCACGTCCCGACTCAGTACAATTCTCAATACTACGCTCAAGGGCTCTTTCGGCCGAAGGGGGCCCCCTGGCTATGCAACATCTAGTATCCATGATGGCAGTGTCTACGGCCGTGACAGTGAGGAGGACCTGCGGCAGATGATGGAGAGGCAAGAGCAGGAGACAGACCGACTTGAGAATGTCCGTGCTTGCTGCGATGGTAAGAGGATGCCCGCTTGGACTATTGTGCCTGATCCACTAACACTTGTAATATAGGCAAGCATGATGTTAGCTCACTCTCAAGGACAAGTCGGTACAGCCCGCGTGTTAACCGGCATCACTCTCATCACTGAGCCTGTCGACGTCTATCGTGAAGATGTGCCCTTTCTCCCCAAGGACCTTCTTTATGCATCGCTCGCATCTCTTTCCTTTCCATCCTCCTCGACCCTCATAGCATGCGAATCTCATGAGCGCACGTGTTAGCATTTTATTACTGACTCCCTTTGCTTTTCGGTAGCAGCCACCCTTCGGGCACACTTTCTTGGAACCTTGTGTTACGTATAGTCATTATTAATCTTGGGGGTTTGGTCCCTTTGGCATTTATCGCCACTCAGGTGTCTGGACTGTTCCTGTCATTCATTCGTGATATTTGCAAAATGAATTATTGATTTAGTCATTTCCTTTGTTGATACTCATTGTCAAGCTGATATATTTATGCCGTTCGTTCCACTTAGTCTTGACCCTTACTTATTACTACCACTTCCATCTTGTGTGCATCTTGCATCTGCCCATCATACCTTTTGCTTTTCTTTTCTCACCTCTTGATACTGAGTCTTTGCAATCTGTAATGACAGGAAGATTGACCGTTGGCGTCCCGTGTCCGTGTTGACTCTGTCTTTATATGTCAGGAACTGATCTAGACACCATTTGAGGAGTTCGAAACCATATGTACCATGAATGGATAAGATATCCTGTAACTTGGAACCTCTGTAGTTAATGCTCCGTGACTAATGCGGTAGTGCGGAGGATTAGTCATGCATCGCCGTGGAGCTGGCCATCTTCAACTTCCATCAACTTTCTCTTTCTGATCTCCTCACCCGTCCCACTTCTCTTGCCCTTGTCCAAAGAGATCAATCGATCGGGTTGACCAGTTATAACTTCCCATTTCCCTGTCCACTGAGAACGAATGGCTTCTATCAACGAGCCTACTACCAAGATGTGGCTTGCATCACTGCTGGAACCAAGCTTGCTTCTACTCTGGGCTATGTCGTGTAAGTCCAACGGAAACACCCATTGCCTGCTACAAGTGTAGAGTGATATTCTCCTACGTATACGGCAGTTACTTGCCGCACTACCGATGGTATAGACATGTATACTCGCGGATCCCTTCGCCACCAATTCCCGAGTAAACTTAAGCTAATAGAAGCCCGACAGATCATGTCAAAGTCAACTTGGAAGCGGTCTTTAAACGAGGGCAGATCCTCGCTCCACTTCTCCAGTCCGGAAGACTTCGCGATGAGGCTTTCGGCCGATTCTGGGTCTCCTTTAGCAGTGAGTCCCTGAGCATCAAGTCAATATGATGATAACCAAGCTCACAAGCTACGCGGCGAATCTTGAAGACGCCGTCGACTCCCAGCCCCCACGCCCACCAACCCAAGCAGGTGTTCAAAGTTCCTCGGACCTAATCCCGCCCGTCTTAGCTCACGCCTCAGGCTTAGTCCTAGATGTCGGCCCGGGAACAGGAACACAAATGCCACTTCTACGCTCGCCAGCCATCAAAGCAATCTACGGCGCTGAGCCCTGCCACGGCCTTCACGCGAAACTACGCTCTAGGGCGAACGCCGAAGGTGTAGGTGAGAAGTACCATGTTCTTCCCTGCAGCGTCGTCGTCTCAGAACTTGTTCCGGCTCTCCAGAAACAAGGCCTTCTGCCTGCTGGTACTACCGCACTTGACCAGACAACTGGTGGCGTCTTCGACTCGATTATCTGCGTCCGCGTGCTTTGCTCTGTGCCAGATCTGGAACAGTCTGCTCGGGACCTGTATGCTTTGCTTAAGCCCGGTGGCAAGATTCTCGTCGTGGAGCATGTGGTTAATCCGTGGCGTACGGCGAAGGGATCTGTTGTTGCGAGGATGATGCAGGCTCTTTATGGGTTCTTGGGTTGGAGCTGGTATATTGGGGATTGTCGGATGAATCGGGATACGGAGAAGGCGTTGCGGGGTGCGGCGGAGAGTGATGGGGGATGGGAGTCTGTGGAGGTCGAGAGGTGGTTTGGAAGAACTTGTATGCCGTATATTGCTGGGACTTTTGTTAAGAGAGGGTAGGCTGATTTGTGGATTAAGGTGTTGGGTTATGATCATGGTGGGCTTGAGGTGGTTTTCATACAGATGATATGTGTGGTGATGGACGTGGTTTGGTATAAGGATTGTGTGATATGTCTACCTAAGAAGGCTGTAATGACGATCGTATTTAGCTGTCTGGAGGCATAGCCCCCCCAAATTGTCATCTTATGAGGTTATAGAGAGAACTTGGAATCTCTGATCGTTGTTTTGGTGACCATGAACACTGTAAACAACCCATTCCAAGGGCATATCAGTGAAACTGTCTCTCCCTCTCGGTCCAACTACTTTCACTAATTTAATCCTCGTGAAGGTCTCAATGATCAACCTTGGGATAGCTTCTGCCAGTTTGATCATTGCCACAAGCTAATACAGCTAGTTAGAAACACCTGAATGAGTTGAATAAAGAATAGGTAAAGGGAGAAAGACATTGTCATGACCTCTTTTAAAGTTATAGCTTTATTCGTCTAGCCATGCTTGTCTAGTATGACAATATACCGGAATATGCAAAAGTTTGCAAGCCGCTCCACAAAGCTACAAAGTTATAGTCTTATAATAGAAAGCACAGTTAGGTAGATGTGCATAGGAGAATCAGTATACCGACAGCTTTCACTATCATGCCGATATACAAACAAAGAACGACAATAAAAGACAACCAATAATACCCACCACAATAACTGCCGTAGATCTAGCAACATGCTAAAAAGAAGAACAAAGCTCATATGCTGGATGTTGACCAGAAGAACAAAGGGAGATAGAGTAAAGTAAATTGGCTATAATAAAAAAGGACGACAACAAGCTCAATTTATCTTCAGCCAGTAGCGCTCTTATCCAAAATTTCATTTACATTTTTCTCTATAAGAGCTTTTAGCTACTTGTTCATTAATCTTCCATATCAACCCAACTACCGTCCCACGATCATCTCCCCCTCCCCCCTCCCCCCCCTCTGGCTCCACATATCTCCAACATGGAATCCCAACCACCAGAAAGACGAGAACCCTTCTGGTCCCACTTCAGCAACCTAGTCCGTAGAATGAACCCCCTACCCCACGGAACCCCAGCCTCCACCAGCGTAACCCCCTTCGACAAGGACCCCTTCACAACCGGCGTGATAAACCTCCACGGCTGCACCTGCATCATAATCATCACCGAAAAAGGCCTCTACAACTCCCATTTCTGGGACGGGCCATCCTTCTCCCAAAGCACTGTCCCAATCCACGGCCCGAAAATCTTCGAACACGACGTCCTACGCCCCATAACATACGGCCTCCGGTTCTGCACCTCCAATGACACCATCCTCGAAGGTCCCCCGGCATGCAACCACTACATTAGGGACGAATATGAGCCCCTCGCCTTCATATTTAGTCCGAAGAAATGGAACTCGGATGTCATGCAGTATCCGGCGCAGATTGTTAAGATTGCTCATGCGCTTTGGGATGTCTTGCCTAGTGCGGATGTTCAGGTTGTGGGATATGTTAATGTGGGGAGGGCGGATCCGGTTCTGAGGGATTCGGATTTTATTGATCCTGATGTTGGGGATATTGGGCAGTTGGAGGGGAAGGTGGTTGTGGATTATCAGCCTAGGGTTCGATTGCAGGATGGGAGAGTGGGTTCGGTGGTGGATGTTTGGATAGGGGATGAGGTGGAGAGGGTTTGGAGGAAGGAGTGGGTCAGTGGGGAGTTTTTTTGGGTTGGGAGATTGAGTGTCTGGGTTTTTTTTTTTTTTTTTTTTTTTTTTTTTTTTTGGTGAGTATGGGATTTAATGGTGTTGGGAATGTTTGAGCTTGCCCTCTATGTTGTATTTTCTTGGGTGATGTTAGTATTGTCTTAGGGTTGGATGATCACATGATTTGGGTTCTAGGGGGACCACGTTCATTATTTTTGCTGGAAATACTGATTAGAAGTTTCGTACACATTGTGGCTGTTGGCTTGAAGAATCATCACTAACCATTGAACATGTACATTCTTGTGTTTAGAATAGTAGCAATGTGCGAGAACAGAACCAAAGGCTGATGGATAGGAAAAGAAATGTCAACCGCGCAAATTCGTAGAGCATTTAACAACTTGCATGAAGCAGTGCAACCATAAACGGAAGAGAGAAAACCTACTCAAATGATAGAAGACAGAGAGACAAGTCATACTCAATTGGCCAGAGGTAACAACTCGTAATCTTCACGCATAAACTCCCTCAAAGCATCCAACGCCGCCCTCAATGCCTCCGTATCTCCGCCAAACCCAAGACGTACATAGCCGCTGAAATTCCTCCCATCCCCGAAGCATTTCCTTCCCGGCACAAGGAGTACGCCTCTCTTATCTAGGAGCTTTGTGCAGAATTCCACGTCATCTACCGGATGGCCAGACCTAGTAAATTTGATGAAACCGATTGGACCGGCAACTGGTTTCACCCATTGACAGCTCGACGAAAATTCCTCAATGAAGGATTGAACAATGTCAAGGTTATTCTTTGCTAGCATTGTGTTACGTTTCACCAAATTGTGGACGCAGGAGGGGCTCAATGCGAACGATGCGATCTGTTCATCGACTTGACTGGCTGTTATGAGGGCGTAGGAGCGAGCATTGATACAGAGGTCGAGGATGGGTTTACTGTGCGATGCGATCCATCCTATTCGAATTCCGGCGAGGGCATAGGCCTTTGATAGGGAGCTGGTAACAACTGTATTTTCATAACCAAAAGAAAGGGCTGAGGGCGGGTAGTCCGGGTCTCCTGGAGCGATGGAGTGGAAACTAGGACGATAGACCTCGTCACTGAAGACTGTTATGGAGCGGCGTTCGGCGATTTGGATGATCTTTTCGAGGCTTGATCTGGAGATGATTGCGCCGGTGGGATTTTGTGGGTTGCTAATCTTGATCAGTTTATCTGATGTTGTACTTTGTGCGTGGGGAGAGAATGAGGGCTTACTTTAGGACGATCATTCTTGTGTTGGGCTGGATGAGGCTTTCTAATTCCTCAATGTCGAGGTTCCAATTATCATTCTCTTTTGCCTTCCACAGACTAACCTGCGCCCCAAGGGAGGCTGAAAGGGAGTATAGTTGCTGGTAAGTGGGATACTGGACGATAACATGATCTTCGGGGCCAAGTAATGCAAAGAGCACAATGAAGTTCGCTAGTGATGCGCCAGGAGTGGTCAAAATCTTGTCAGATGTTATGGGCACTGATGATCCATCTGAGTATAAGTTTGCAATGTTGTCACGTAGCTGCTCCAATCCTGTGAAGGAAGGGCCGTAGTTCATTGGCATGGATTGAACTGAGGCGAGAAGATCATCATCTGCTGCTGCGTCCTTGGACAACGATTTGAGGTCATTTATTGTGACAGGGAGGGAGTACGAATGCGCCAAGTTATACTTGGGGCCAGTGTCCCGAGTAAGAATCCACTACAGCTCGTGTTAGTTCACGGTCTTTCTCCTCAGTTTCTCCATGAGGTGGCTGGCCGCTTACATGGTCAACTTCGAAAGGATCTAGTTTCACCATAGCGACAAGTAGTAGTTCTTTTTTGTTTGAGTATTGGATATATAATTGAGAAGGAAAAAGATTCGATCCTAACTTTCATCCTGTAGAGCATATCGCCAGTGTTTATATCCATGTATGGATCCAGCTTATGAGTAAGATATGCATGTATATTGAAGGGCGTGGGATTGACCCCACTTTTACGAGTCACCATTTTAATAAATGATCTTCCTCGGTTTGATCATGATTCACACAAGGTTTCCAGGTC